CATAGGAGTCTATCAGACAGAATACAGGTGTCAGATGGATGCATGCCCAGTTTTCAAATGGAGCCTCTCACTAGCCAGACAGAAGGTAGGTGAGGGAAGGCACTGGCTTCTCTTTGACCTCTGACCTAGGTAGTAGATGACAATCTTTTGCTTTCACAACATCCATATTTATATTTTAATTGGTTTAATTTTTCTGATATTTGTGAGAATATGTTTGGATTTACTGTCATAATGCCTATTTACTCCTTTCTTCTCTTTTTGCCTTATTAAGTATGATTGTTCAATCTTTTTCTAGCTTGAAGATGATATTATTGTCAAACAAAACTATTTTAATACCATAAAAAATTTTGCACTTCAACTCTCTTCTGAAGAATGGATGATTCTAGAGTTTTCCCAGCTTGGATTCATTGGTAAGAAAAGTGTTTGGTTTATCTACTTTTTTTTTTTTTTTTTTTTTTTTTTTTTTTTGGTTTTTCGAGACAGGGTTTCTCTGTGGCTTTGGAGCCTGTCCTGGAACTCGCTCTTATGGACCAGGGTGGTCTCAAACTCACAGAGATCCACCTTCCTCTGCCTCCCGAGTGCTGGGATTAAAGGCGTGCGCCACCACTGCCCGGCTTGGTTTATCTACTTTATAAAACAGCTGAGCTGGCTGGACAGTGTGGTGCACACCCTTAGTCCCAGCATTGGGGAGGCAGGCACAAGCAGATCTCTGTGAGTTCGAGGCCAGCCTAGTCTACTGAGCGAGTGCCAGGACAGGTTCCAAAGCTGTCTCGAAAAACAAAAACAAAACTGAGTCTCAGAATCTTAAACCAGTTGCTTTTTTTTTTTTTTTTTTTTTGACCAAAAGAGAGAGAAAATTAAATATAGGTAAATCTCTTCATGCAAGCTGATGTACATGAATTTATGTAGCCTCTGTGAGTGACTTCCAAGGTGTAGCATGTCCTCTAGAGAGCTGTACCGTGGCTGCCGTGGTGCTGCTGCTGGGAGCATATCTGAGTTCTTCTCGGATACTGCCATTTGCTTTGTGCTTACAAGACTGGGGTTCATCCCCAAAGCATGGCACTGATGGGTTCTTAGGGGGCTGCAGCATGCAGCTCTTGTTGGTGATGACTTTTTCTTCACTTGTTTCTTTCATGAGCTATTTGGGGGTGCTTATCTTAAAGCCTTTGAGGGAGTGGCATCCCTAAAATAGCCAAGGAAAAAGAATGTGTTTGAAGCCAAACGGGTGAAGGAAATTTACAGGGTTTAAAAATAACCTCTCAAGCCAGGTGTGATGGTGCACATCTGCAACTCTTGTGATCCCTGCATCCAAGAGGCTGATACAGGAGGGTCTCAAATCTAAGGCCAGGCCAGGCAAAGTGGTGGGATCTCATGGAAGAATGCAAGGGCTGGGTGCAGCTTAGTGGTGGACCCCTTGCCTAGCGTGAGTGAGGCCCTGGGTTCAGGCCACCCCTCCCAACAGGAGGCTTGGTCTCTGACCTTGTTGTCATTTAACTCAAAACTTGTTTTAAGACTCAGAAAGCAAAATTACCAGTTTCATTGACAACAAAATTAGTAAGCCTTTTCTTCCCCAGCCCTCCTCCTGCTCCTTCGCCTCCTCTGCCTCCTTCAACTTTTTGTTTTATTGATGTTGGTCCCTCCCTCCCTCCCTCCCTCCTTCCCTCCTTCCCTCCCTTCCTCTTTCCCTAATTTTCCCCCTCCCTCCCCTCCCCCTCCCTCTTCCCTCCCTCCGATTGAATTTAGGGCTTCATACATACTGCTAGGTAAGTGTTCTATACAGTTCACTGAGCTGTACTCCTAGCCCTGCATACTTTTTAAAAATATCAATCTTTCAAATTCCTTTATTTATGAGAACAGTCTTACTAAGATAGGAAGAAAAGTCTGACTTGATCTATGAACTCTTTAAACAACAGTGTGTATTAAATTGTAGTTAACATCAGGAGTAGGTTACTTCTGTTTATACCCAGCTGACAAGTCCAGAGAATGTTTAGGTAAAGTGATGCTGTTTTTGATAATGGGAATAAAATCTCACTATATTTAGCACATAGAAGTCCCTTCTGCAGGCATCTCGAGGACTGGTCCTTTGTGACAGCTGTTGACTGGGAATGTCTTTTCAGGAAAGATGTTTCAGGCGCCAGACCTTACTCTGATTGTGGAGTTCATCTTTATGTTTTATAAGGAGAAACCCATTGATTGGCTCTTGGACCACATTCTCTGGGTGAAAGTCTGCAACCCTGAAAAAGATGCTGTAAGTTAACTCTCCATGCAGTCCAGGGGACACTTTTTCTTTGCCTTTTTGAGACAGGGTCTCACTATGTAGCCCCAGGCTGGCCTAGTTCTGAAGATCCTCCTGTCTCAGTGGCCTGCATGCCTGGCCTGGAAGTTTCTTTTCCATTTCCCATATGAAAGTAACTCTGAGTGAAGTAGATCTTGGTAACAAGTTAAATAAGGCCACAGCTGGGAAACTATTTACTCTTCCCGTGCTTGGCTTCATTCTGAAGTCAATTCTAAGTCCCAGTGTTAGAAAGGTAGGTGTGTGTGTGTGTGTGTGTGTGTGTGTGTGTGTGTGTGTGTGTGTGTGTGTGTGTATGTGTGTGTGTGTATGTGTGTGTGCGTGTGTGTTTGTCTGCATGTGTGCTCATGCGTGTGTGCATGAGTGTGTTTGCTTGTGTATGAGTGTGAGAGTGTATCTGTGTGTGTCAGTGTGTGTATGGTGCAGTGGTAGAGTGTTTTAAACAGTTCAGTCATGTGCGTACATATATAATACATTATTTTTTTAATAGCAGAAAATCCCTTAACCACCCTGTTTCTAAGTGTTGGCTCCCTCATGTATGGCTGAGAAACATTGTGGGTCTTGAGGCTTTATTATCCTGTTATTATTGGAGATATATAGCAGACCTGGCTGGTGGAAGAAGGTGTGTTGTTTTCTTCCTGTTGTGTCAGTTGTCTCTCACCCACCCCCTTTAAATTGTCTTGGGTTAGTATCAGACCCCAGTGCACCTGAGAGTATTAAATAGCAGTGATGCCACATGCCACCTCACAGGACTCTTCAGCGCCCGAGTTGCACTTTATCATCGAATAATAAAATCCGATTCTTTTAAATGTCTAGAAGCATTGTGACAGACAGAAGGCAAATCTACGAATTCGCTTCCGACCGTCGCTCTTCCAGCATGTGGGTCTACATTCGTCACTGTCGGGGAAAATCCAGAAACTCACGGTTGGTGATTGCACATGGCCTTTCCCGGCTGTACAGGTTGCTCTTCCTGTGTAGCTGTTAACATAATGGCATCAACATGTCTTCCTAGGATAAAGATTACATGAAACCATTGGTTCTCAAGATCCACGTGAACCCGCCCGCAGAGGTCTCCACCTCCCTGAAGGTTTACCAAGGACACACACTGGAGAAGACCTACATGGGTGAGGACTTCTTCTGGGCCATCACCCCCACAGCTGGAGACTACATCTTGTTTAAATTCGACAAGCCAGTCAATGTAGAAAGGTCAGTGACAATGGAATTCCACTTCTTCTGAGAATTCAGGCCTTCTGCTTATGACGCACCTCATTTATGTGCTGGTGCACAGTAGGTTGACACGTGCTAAGTCACAAAAGTTTTGGTTATAAATTAATTTCATATAGCTGAGTATGAAAAGTGCTCATGTTTTCATGCATGCCATCAATATTTTAATGTTCTGGATAAATTTTTCTTTTTTCTTTTTTCTTTTTTGGTTTTTTGAGACAGGGTTTCTCTGAATTGTTTTGGAGCCTGTCCTGTCTCTGTAGACCAGACTGGCCTCCAACTCACAGAGATCCTCCTGCCTCTGACTCTCAAGTGCTGGGATTAAAGGCGTGCACCACCAATGCCCAGGGCTTGGATAAATTATTTTTAAGATACTACATTTATTTGTGTGTGGAGGCCAGAGGACAACGTGTGGGAATTGGTTGTCTCCTTCCACCTTGTGGGTAATGGGGATTAAGCTCAGGCCTCAGGCTTGGTAGATAAAGTGTCTTTATCTGCTGAGCTGTCTTGCTGGCCTTATGTTTGGTAGCTTGTTATTTCTGAACTTAGATTTAGTCTGTAATTTTGTTACTCTTATTTAGACATCTTTCTATAATAACTTTCAAGTCTTTATCTTAGATGATCTCCAAACACAGGGACAGCAGGTTATTAACTCAGCAATTGATTGAAATGGTAGATGTCCCTAGCCAGTAGTAGTTTTGCTGGTACAGATCATTTTTAGCATGCCTACGGGTCTCTGCAACCCTTTTTAGGCTTTTGGGGACTCCGACATTTTATAAAATTTAGGACTATCTATTTTTGTTTTTTAATTTAATATTCACGACCCCTTCAATCCTCTCCACTTTTACTAGAATGAGAGTTGCAGGTTCTGGTGTGTGGTTATCCTGTGCCAACAGAAACCTTCTAAGAGGTCACCCCAGGGTGAGGATGTATTCTTGGGTCTTATACACTCTAGTCTAACTTGTGTTTTCATTCTTTGGTATGTATTTCCAGTTATTTGTTCCATAGTGGCAATCAAGAACACCCAGGAGACATCCTGCTGAACACCACTGTGGAGGTTCTGCCTCTTAAGGTATGGCTGCTGCTACTCCTGATGTTCCAGTTTCATTTCTGTTAGTGTGATAAAATGCCCTGGCAGAAAGCAATTTAGGGGAGAGAAGAGCTAATTTTAACTTACAATTCCAGATTATAGGTCATCGTTGTGGGAAAGTCCGGCAGGAATTTTAAATATCAAGTTACAGCAAATCCACAGTCAAGAGCAGAGAGATGAATGCATCTCATATCTGTTTGTGCTCAGCTCAATTTCTCCTACATGGTTCAGGAAACCCTGCCTAAGGAATGGTTCTGTCCACAGTGGGCTGGGTCTTCCCACATCATTTAAGATAACTTCCTACAGATGTGCTCACAGGCCAACCCAATGTAGACAGATCCTCACTGAGACTTTCTTCACCCTAATCTCTAGTTGTGTCAAGTTGACAATTGAAGCCAGTTGTCACAATGGATTAGAGGTTTTCTTATTTATGAGGAAAAAAAAATCTCATGAGATGTATGACTTTAATGGTGGGTCATTAAAATATTGAATATCTGATGTTAATGTACCCATTTGTTTCTTCCATAGTCTTCATTTTTCTTTCTGCTGGAAAAAAAAATACAGTTGTTTATATTAGGAAAAGGGTCCATATTTTACCACAGTGTTTACTCTGTAAGAAATGTCTACATTTTGTTCAAGTTAACATATACAGTCTTCATTTTCTGACCATTGGTATTCTAAGCAGGCTGAGAGGGTGGTTAAAATTTTACTAACAAATTTTCAGAATTCTCAACGGAGATGTCATTTTTCTTCATAGCTGTGCCACAAATGCAGCTTTTATACGAAGTTAGATTTGCTTTAAACGGGCACAATTACCTATACAATTGTTGCTTTTATTTTATTTTAGAGTGACAGTTTGGAAATCAGCAAAGAAACCAAAGACAAACGATTAGAAGATGGCTATTTCAGAATAGGTAATGTCCACTTAGTAACACTTATTTCCTGGACTGACTCCTAAAGCCATTTCAAATTCTTGTCATACATTAAGCCGCTTGACAGTTACAGTCACCAGTGTGCTCAAGTTGTTACTTATACTCCCTTGATTTGACATTTACGGATCCTGGGTGGATTCCTGGCTTGTTGGCTTTCTCTATTGCTTGTGTCATAGCTATATCTCAGTGACAGCGAGTCTGCCTTTGCTGCCTTTCTGCCCATCTCTGTCTGGATGATCTTCACTGCTTTCATGCCCTCACCTAACTTCCACATGCCAGTTGATCCAGATTTCTGACCCTCCCCCCGGGGGGTGTGCCTCTGTGTGATGATGCTGACTGACAGTGGCACCTGGGGAAGCCTTGGAGGGTGTTAGGGATAGTAAATGGAATCAGGGTTCAGCTAGGTGTCTAATGGGGAAAGCCAAGGAAAGAGGTGGGTCCAGAATAGCCCGATATATGGCCAGAATTAAATTTATCAGACTTGTTGCTACTTAATTCCAAAAACATGGCTGAAAATTGCCTACAGGCAATTCTTGGACCCCTGCTGGGTGTCCAAGAAGAAGAGTGCTGTGGTTTTAGAAAGAAATTTCAGTGGGTTAAAGCTCTGAGAAGGCAAAAGAGCCTTCTGTAGAGAAACAGGGAGCCTGAGAAAGGACCACAGGCCAGTGTGTGGAAGGAATAGGGCTGTGACCAGAGACCTCTGAAGTTCCTTCCAGTGTCTGTAGTCTGGGATTTTAATTGTAACCAAGTACATCACATCTTGGTGAGCGCAGAGTCAAGACAGAAGAGCATGGAGACAGAGTTATGACTTGCCAGCAGGCAAGGTAGTCATGGGGCTTCCAAAGCAGTGCTCTCTTTTCACAAAGGAACTGTGGAATTTTATGTAGTGAGCTGGCACATAACTCTGATGCATTGTAGGCCATTCCTGAGCATGCGCAGTTTAGGAGTTCATTCTTGAGCATGCTCAGTTATGGTTATGGAGCATGTGCTAAAAAGATTAACCTGATGGACGGGAATGCTTTGGCATGCTCAGCTTGCCCTCTAATCTTTAGCTGTATATTAGCTAGCAGCCACTCTCCTGTTTTCCCTTGTCATCTAATACTTAACTATTTAATACTGGCCTGAACTCTGTGGGAAAGAAAGAGAAGGAAGGAGAAAATGAGAAAGGAAAAAGAAAAATTATTGTAGTGAAGTTTCCTAGTTGATGCTGGACTACAGTAGCAGATGCGATAGGCATAAAGTTATTGTTGACAGTTGGCTGGGTAAACAAGTCACAGCCAAGACCTCTTAGGAAACTCCGAACTGTTTTGTTTTGGGTAGCCCTGGCCATCCTGGAACTCCCTCCGTAGACCTCACAGAGATCGGCCTGCCTCTCCCTCCTGAGTGCTAGGATTAAAGGTGTGCACCACCACCATCCAGCTTCTAAACTCGGAACTTTTAAGCTGACACACTATCTAAGCTCATTTCTTTAGGAAAATAAGCAGCAGATTATATAATCAGCTTCTTTAAAAGACAGCTCACATGCACAGAGAGAGATGCAACCTTCCAACCTGGAAGTATAGTGGCAGCAGAGGTTTGGAGATGCTCCAGGGCAAATAAAGGAGTGCTGTATTCCTAAATTAATACTTGCTCGAAAGGCTTTTCCCTCTAACTGGGAAGTGATTGTCTACAGTGTAATAACAGGCAGATATTGAGTATCAAAGCAAAAAACTTAGTAGAATAACTATGTAAATAACTTCTAACTGATAAGGATGCTGCACTCAAATCTTATGTGTGTGGCCTTGTGACATAGCTCAGTTGATAAGGGCACTTGTTACCAAGCCTGGTGACTTATGTTCAATCTTCTGGACCCACATTGCAGAAGGAGAGAACCAACTCCTAAAAGTTGTCCTCAGACATCTGTAAGCATATTGTGGTGTGCGCACCCTCATACAAACACAAATGTAATTTTTAAAAAGTTACTTGTGTATTGATACTGGTGCTTGGTCTTTAACAATTACTTCCTGTTTTGAAGGAAAATTTGAGTATGGTGTTGCAGAGGGAATCGTGGACCCTGCTCTCAACCCCATTTCAGCCTTCCGACTTTCAGTTATTCAGAATTCTGCTGTCTGGGCCATTCTTAATGAGGTAAGGACATAGGCAGTCTGTGAAGTCACATGGCTCACTGCATTGTTTTACATTGCATCTTGATTTTGCAAATGAAGCCTTCTGGGAATTTTGAATTAACAGCTTTGTCAAATCTTTCATTATTTTGTATTTCAGATTCATATAAAAAAAGCCACCAATTGATCTTCTAAGAAACCGACACCACATCCTTTCTTCCTGTGACTCTGTCAATTAAAGATAGTTAGTGTGTCCCTTTCTGTCTGGACTTGAACACTACCTCTCGTGAAGCCTACTGTAGATAAGATGATTGTCATTCCCACCCAGACAGGGGCTCTTCCCATGGATGACTGCATTCATTTGAAACTAAGCTGTCCTCCAATTTGAACTTGACACAGACGTTTTACAATTCTGACAGCCTGGTAATACGACTGGGACTATTTTGGTATTATACTAATACATAAGAGTTGTACATATTGTTACATTCCTTAAAATTTGAGAAAAACTAATGTTAAATACATTTTGTGAAGGGGGTACTTTTGAAGTTCATTTATTTTACTATTATAGACCCTCTTTTATAGACGATCAGGGATTATATATATAAATATATAAATATATAAATACACATACAGATGTTATGGAGTTAATTTATTAGAAACACTTAAGAAGTACATATTTTTGTGCAGTAAATTTTTGAATCAATATCTTTTTTTGAAGAAGCAGTTCCCTGGCTTTTTTAAGTTCTTTCTATATTTTTCTTTGGAGATGCAGACATTACAGATCAATGCCATTTTTTTTTTTTTTTTTTCCAGTGCACTGCCATTCCAGATTGGTTCTAGATGGGTTTCTTAACTTGAAGTACTTTTATAATCACAGCAATTCTGAACAAAATATTTTCAGAGGCATTTGTCATTCTTTAAAGCCAAGAGTACTGTGTATGGTGTGTAGCCACAGAAAACCAATGTGGTCTTCAATGTCCAGGTGGGAGGCCCCTGTCCAAGTCTCCACATACAGAGTCCTTGAGGTTTCCCCTGGTGTGGGTGATGAGACCCCTTCCCTTGTTAATCTGTCTTTAATCACTAGTTAGACACATCTGTTCTCACTGGTCCTTTTATACCCATGTTAGATTTTAAAGTTCAGACAATGTTTTCTAGGTAATGCTGTTGTGTGAATCAAATAATGGGTATGATTTTAAAGCCAAAACTGTAATGTGGGGCTCCAGTCAAAGATAATTGTAGTGCTTGTATGTTTCCACAGAATGATTTGCTATGCTGTATCATCAACTTGGAAGTAAATGCTGTGTCCACAGAGTACTTATGCCTCCTTGCCTTGCAGTCTCATGCAGTACTAGTTTGCAAAAGTGCTTTACAATTAGGAAGGCTGAGCAGTAGTTGCCAGTCTCCCCTGGTTGATCCGGGGGCTGCAGATGTCCAGCAGATATGGTAGAGGCCTGGAGCTGTGGGAGGTCCTAGCTGGTGGCCTCCAGCCTGGAGCTTTCTTAATCACCTCGTGTATGGGACACAGCACTTAACAGCCATTTTGCATGTTGTCTTCTGACTGGGAAAAATGTAGATAAATACTACTATGCTGTGTTAAAGCCCAGGTGAAGTTTTTCTTGGGGTTTTGTAAATTCCCCTCTCCGTTTCCTTCAACTTTTTATTTTCTTCTCTGATTTCCTAAGACATAAGGCAAATTCCTTTGAAATGAGGAATACCTTTTCATTATAAACTTTGAGCATTGTCTTCACACACTAAATTGCTGCTAATGCAGCAGGGTCACAGATGGTGAGACCATGCAGATGGGGGCAGGGGCCCCCCTTAGGGCTCTGGTTTCTCAGTGGTTGTGACTTCAGGGAGGCTGTGCTTTGAAAATCTAGTGGGATTCTAATGCACACCTGCCACCATTTGAATGGCCCCTGCTTGGGTATTTCTGCACATCCTCTCGCTCAAACTCCCATGGCTCTTGCTTTTTAGCCAAGTGTTGTCCTTCATTCAGAGAATCTTCTTCCCAGTGCCTAGAACATTCTTGGGCCTTGGCAAGCTCTCTTGGCATCTGGGTGAGTCATTTCTCTCTTAGGCGTGTTTGCCTAACAACCTTGCCATGCATGGGCACACACACACTCTGCGTCTAGTTTTCATTTGTGGTCTGTGTGTTCTCTGACACATTCCATGCTCCGGAGGCCAGCTCTCCACCTGTCTTCCACCACAGCAGGTGCTCATCTGACCCTCAGGGTTAGAGTTGCTCCCTTCTTTGTCCCCAGTGAGGCACTAGACAATCGAAGCAGATGTGCTTCCCCCAAGCAAGTAGTTGCAGTGAGAGCCTCAGAGGTTGGTTAAGAGTGCAGCTCAGCGGAGGGGAAGCCAGGGTGCCTAGAACTGCAAGGTATACACATTAGACCTCAGAGGCCACCGGCTCACTTTCCCCCTAACAGTGAAAGGAAAAAGTGCCAAATGCAGTACTAATTATATCTGTAAAATAGGTGGTGGTTGGCATCTGGTGTGTATTTCAGATAAACTAGACTCTTAGAGTAGTGCTGGCCCCAAAGAAGCCACAGAGTACACAGCAGCTGTTACAATGAAAAGTTGAGCTCTGTGCCCACATGGGGCCAGCAGCCACCATATTGGGTCTGAGAAATACAGGACATTACTAGCCAGTATGGTGTTTCGTGTAAATATTCTAGAAGGAAGGAGTAATGTGTCCTGCTGCCATCATTGAAAGCAGACCTGTGGATTCATCCCAGTGCAGGCAAAAGTGTGTATTTTGGTGAGAAGACCGAGATTGCCTGGCTGTATGTGAGTGCCATCATTCTTTCCAGCATGCATTGTATCAGTGTCCTCAAAAAGTATGTTGGACTAAAAAGCATGAGAAAGAGTGAATGCAGATGGGTAATTCAGCTTGTAGGCTAGATGTGTGTGTGTGTATGCATCCATTAGGGTGTGTTTGAACAAAAATTCTTTGTGGTTTTTGAAATTGCTGGTTTCATGTAAAAGATCAGGTGTGCTTGTTTCAAAAAGCTGTCAGGATAGTGGTTGACTAGAGTCCTTTTTAGTCTTTCATGATAATGAAAAATAAAGTCCTCAATAGTGCTATCCCTCAAAGAAAAGTTTAGCTATGTGGAAAGAGTGTGTTCAGCAGGTTGTCCCAGTTAATAGTGTCTGTTTTCAGTTACACAAGATTCTAAGAATGACCTTGTAGAATATCCTCCCCTTCTCAGTGTGGCAAGAACTGTGACCACGATCCAGGGTCATGTTTTGTTACTTAGCAAAGGAAGATTATCTGTGGGTGACTGATCCGGTCTTGTGAGCCATGCTGGCCTGGTGAAAGTGAGACGAAGCAGCCACAGAACTCCCAACACCATTGCTGGCCTAAGTGGGAGGGGCCACCAGGAAAGGACTGCAGGTGGCCTGCCTTAATGACCAGCTGAGGAAATAGGAGCTGCAGTCCTACCCCACACACTTACCCAGGCTTGGAAATGGACGTCTTCAGATGGGAGGCCAACCTGGAAGCAACCTTCACTGCAGCTTTGTAAGTGGGCCCTACCCAGACAGCTTGGGTAAGCCTGCTAGATTTGTAGTGTTTGTAACAAGCAACAGAAGAAGAATTAAGACAGTCTTGAGTAGTCTTCATATCTGATTGCCTACAGTAGGTTACTTTTTTCTTTTTTAAAGACAGTGTCTCACTTTGTACCCCAGGCTGGCCTTGAAATTCTGTCCCCCCCAGTTTTGCCTCTCAAGTGTTGATATGATAGGCATCACCATAGCCAGCTTGTTGATATTTTTTGATAGACACACAGTATAAGCTCATTCCTAGGTCTCAGGATGTTCTGTGTCAGAGATCCTCATCTCCAGTACAAGTTAGATTTGTATTTGTGTTTTGTAAAATAACTGCCAGGATGAGACTGTAGGGGTGGGGGTGTGGGGCATCTTTTTCTCTTAGATGAAGTTAAACTACACTGACTGGAAGGCCTGCCAGAAGTACTTGAAGAACCACGGTAATTTAGATCAGACTGAAGAGCAGAAAAACTCCTGCCTTGTGTTGAATCATAGGCTTGCCTACCCTTCTGACACTGAAGCATGGGCTGTTGTCTACAGGGTTCACACTCAAGAACCACCCAGTCCAGTTACTAAAACAAAAATGTTCAAAAGCTTTACAATTTTAAATTGTGCCATTCATTGCTATCCTGGGCTACAGGCTGAACATATTTGCTAGAGTTTGGGCTATAAGAGTAATTCTTTAAAACCATTTAGTCAATAGTTAGCTATCACAGCTCAAACCCTGTATGTACCAACCAAGGTTTTATATTTATTGATGCTTTTCACAATACCTCTGACTCCAAGCCGTTAATTGATAATGAAGTTTATTTTTGTTTTGGTTCACTCGTTTGTTTGTGCTTACCTATTTTTTTTTTAATCATACTGCCATAGCCTTGAAGGAAAAGAATTTAGAGGTTAAACACTATCAGGTCACACGGCCTGTGCTGTCATCTTCATTCGGTAAGGGATCTTAAGTCCCAGCTCAACCCTTTTCTAGAAAAGGGCATTCCCAAGCTATGTAGCAACATTTATAGCTTGTAAAATTTAAACTTTGATAGTTGTAAGGATTTCAATGATTAATCTTACCAGATATATGCTATGCTAAATATGCTCAATTTACTGCATGTGAACATACAATGCTAAAAAGATGACCAGTCTTTTACAAAGACAAAAAAAGCAAACCAAGGATTTTGTTACCCGTGCCCCATACCATCACTAGCTAAATGAAGCCTTGTTTCTGTAATGCTCCCTTCCCCGGTTTTTGCACTACCTAAAAAGGCTCCTATGTGAACAAGCAGACAGCAAGAGCACACTCCAGGCAGCATGTGACCCTGTGTGTACAGTGTCAGAAACCTGAGTTTGAGGGAGGGGGAAGAATGTGTGCAGGGAGCCACTCCCAGGGTGAGCATGGTAGAATATGCACAATGGGACTCCAGCTGCGCTCAATACGCTGGTTCATCATGGGGAAAAGTGGATGCTAAGGAGACTGCTTCCTACAGCTGCAGTAGTCATTGGCACTTGGTCCCAGAACGAATTTGTGGGGGTCCTTTAGCTTGCTTAGCATTCCATTCTTTATTGGAAATGCTGTGTTTGCTCCAGCTTGGTGTAAAACTTCCTGGAAACACAGTGCCTAAGCCATACAAAGGGCTTCTGGGACAGATTCTTCTCAGTGTAGAGTCCACTAAGCCTCACAGTCATGTTTCCCCCATGGAGTGAAAAAAAAAAAATTGATCAGGAGAGCACTTCCTCCAGAAAGGCTGTCTTTGCACTGGAGGATGGTTCTTGGAGTAGCCCAAGGAATCTTTGCTAGGTTGTACCAGGTTTTTTCCCTCCTCCTCAAATGTATTGTACATACTTTGCTCACAATGTCTTCATGGGTTGAACAGTTAATAGCTGCAGTAATATTTGAGGTACCTGTTGGATTTTTAAAGGCAGATTATTTATTTTCAAGTTTGCTGCTATAATTGAAACCTAATAATGTCCTGTTGATTGTGCCTTTCATAACCGTCTCTGCTATAACTGTCCATGTGTATTTGAAATAAAGAAGTTTGAACCAAGATTCCTTCTAATAAAAATATCTCAAAATGAATGAATGTTTTTAGTGCTCTTACTATGGTGTTTACTTAATCTTTAAAAGGGAAACACGACATTCTGGCGAGACAATGGCTGTCATCTACACAGGTATTCACTGCCACATATACACACAGTCACTTCTTAAAGGAGAGTAGCCCCCCTGGGGACTGCTTTGTATTTCAATGACAGGGGCTCCTGTGTGAGTCACACTGCAGGCTGAATAAGTCTGTACATCTTGCCAACAACAAGATGGTGTGTGACATTTACCCTTGGCTGTGCCCTTGATATTTTATATATAGCTTAGGTTAAATAATTAAACAATTACATGCTTTAGTTTAAAAATATCTATTAGAAATGTACATTTGATTGGTTTTAAGGAATGGTTTAGACAATAGTGTTAGCATCATCTTAAGCTTGTAAACTTTACATCTTTAAGATATCTACAAAGATAATTTACAGACTTTACAAGAGCATGTCCCTTCCCCAGTACCAGACGGTTCCGCTACAATGCTGCCGGGGCCTTTCACTTCACCCTGTACTTGTAGAAGGAACACAGCATGTGGGTAAAGTTCCATCCCAGTGCCAGCGACAGTCCATACAGCACAGCGAGAGGTGCAAATGGATAGAGCAGGATTACTGTATTTTTCAAAAATGGCAGTGCTGGAAAAGAAAAAAGGATATGACTGACAGATGAACATGATGAAAAA